AGGAGATATGCATATGAACACCTGTGATGAGTAATGCCTGCCCTGCAGAGTGCTGTTTAGGCTGTGAAGCACCCCATTGAGACTAGAGGCTCGGATGGGGTGAGAGCTCTAGGTGGCCCTGCCCTCCTTAGGGTGTCCTTGTGATGAGTAATGCCTGCCCTGCAGAGAGCTGTTTAGGCTGTGAAGCACCCCATTGAGACTGGAGGCTCGGATGGGGTGAGAGCTCTGGGTGGCCCTGCCCTCCTCAGGGTGTCCCTACAAGTGGAGGAGCAGCAGGGTCTGCGGAGGGGCGGGGGGTAGGTGACAATGAGCACATTACCCACTGGGCTGGATGTGGAGGTCTGGGCTGGGGGTTGGTGGTAGGGAGGGGAAACTTCAGAAGGGGAAATGAGAAAGAAAAAAAAAGAACAACTAGTTTGTAACAAGCAAGACAGTGAAAAGGGGGAAATGGGTCCACGTAAGCTCTGTTGCTAACAGAGTTGGCAGTGCTTTCTCCTTTCTCAGGCCCCAAGAGCTGTAAATATCAAACTTGCAAAAGAGGGTGTATTTCTCAATTCTCTTAACAGAATTAAACAACTTTCCAGATCTTCACACAGGTCAGCACTCAACAGTGATTCTATTCTACTACATTTGGTTTAGTGTAACTCAGAACGCTGTCATCTCTTGCCAGAGAAGTTCCTTTTTGCTTTTCTTTGATTAGCTTCTCTATATTTTTGTTTCTTGGGGAGCAAGCACTCTATGGTTAGCACTTCCTTTCTGAGCTAGTCTAGAGGCATGCTTCCTGGGTAGTAATTTTGTAGTACTAGATCTTTGCTTTTCCAAGTGCAATCCTCTGGCGAGCAGCATGGATATCACTTGAGTGAGAACTTGTTAGAAATATGGAATTTCTGGCCCCATCTCAGAATCAGAATCTGCATTTTAATAAGATCCCCAGGTGATGGACATGCACAATATAGAGACATATCCCTTATGAATAGTAACGAATGTAAGCGAAGGCCACGCTGGTTCTAAGAGCTGTCAGTTGTGGATTCTGAGCTGGAGGTCTTCTGCACCTGAGCAAACACCCAGACCCACCTGTGCACCAGCTTTCACCCAGGAACCCCATCCTTCCCTAGTGTGCAGTTCTTCTGCTGTCCATGACCATTGACAGCTAAACACTTTTGTGTTGGAGGCACAGTCATCAGAAATGTTTATCAAACAATGAAGGGATACAATTTCATGTATCTGATATGTCTTAGTTTCTCCAAGATAGTCCCAATTTTATGTAATTTGGAGAGAGACAGAAAAGGGAAAAGTAATCCTGTATAACAAAAGCCGTGACTGAACAGTGGGACGACTGGAACAACTGGAACAACCATGGCCCCTTGCCCCAGCTGGCCCCGCCCCTCAGCAGGCCCTCCCAATCCTATTGGGGGGCAGGGCCAGCCAGCAAACCGTCTGCAGCCCCTCGCCCCTGCTGGCCCTGGCCCCCAGCGAGCCCCCCCACTCCAACTGGGGTGGAGGGGGGCCCTTGTTGGCCCCCATCGGGGCAGGCTGGCTGGACCCCACCAGTGCGCAAATTCGTGCACTGGGTCTCCAGTCTAATAAATAATGCTATTAGATAGTAATAAGTGGTATGAAGAAGATAACAGGATTTCATAGAAAGGAATTGGGGCTGCTACTTAAGCTAGGTAGTCAGGAAAGGCCTCTCTAAGAAGGTGATTTTTGATCTGAGAGCTGGATAGCCATGTAAAGATTTGGGGGATAGCCTTCAAGGCAGAGAAGCTGCAAATGCCAGGTCTCAAGGCAGGAATGAGGTTAGTGAGTTCAAGGAATGCAGCTGGAGCAGAGTCAGCCAGGTCAGAACAAGGTGGGAGCAATGGCTGTGAGGATTTGGGTTTTATTCTCAACCTAGTCAAGTTTCTCAGCCTCTCTGAACATAGCCCCTCATCTGAAATAGTAATTTCCACCTCACAGAATCCCTGGGGAGACCGAATGAGTTAGGGCTGTAGTGAGTACATGGAACATAGTAAGTGGTCAGAACTCAGAAGCTATTATTATTCTTCATTCATTTCAGTAGAGGGATCTTCCAGCCATGCAGCAGTGGCTCCTAGTCTATATTTATGGAACAGGAAGCCATGTTGGGGTGCTCTGGATTGTGTTTTAAATAGTGGGGATGGGTCTGCATGACTGCATCCACATTCTCTCATCTTCCCACCTCCTTGGACTTGTGATCCTTGGTACATACTTTAAACATCACTGACTGGAGCTAGGAGTACAATCTGTGGTCATGGGACATAGCAATACTCTGTGAACCCATGACACATCTTTCCTGGACAGAGTTCTGGAACCAGCTGAACTAACCCACTGCAGGCTAGCCCAGGCAGGTTGGTTTTACCCATCTGTGCCTTACTTACCCTGTCTTGTACTTATTTTCTAAAGGATGCAGTAGATCTAGTCCCCTGCATTTGGGTGAACTGAGCAAAGCTATCTCCTCATAACCAGGTGCCAGTTTTCTAGGAGGCATTTTTTTTCTTCAGGATGAGAAAGGCTTGGCTAATCTTTCCATTTGTTCTGTCAAGTGTTAAGGAACAAGGTGATATCTGGCTGGAATCTGTCAAAATTCGTTTAGGGTTTGCCCTTCACTCAGTACTCAGGAGTCGACTTCCCACCTGGCATAGCCACACACTGGTTTCTGGTTTGTTACTAACTTCCTTATTCTGTGCAGTGATATCATCCCCATGGGGAACCTCAGAGCCAGCTCACTGCTGCATTCCTGTTGCATGATAATTGAGTCTGTTCCTTTATCTTGTTCCAGTTTGAGGGCGTAGCAGTTCTTAGAGCACTCCTTTTTTATTCTGAGAAACAATGGTCCCAGCCCCATCTCCTACACCTAAAAGCAGAATTTGCTGCAGAGTTTATGGCTGGGAAGCATGCTGGGGCCTTGGGCGATTAACTAGCCAGGAGCAGACCAGGACAGGGCAGGGAGAACCAACCTGATTTCAGCCTTGACCTCTCCCCCCAAGGCCAGGGGCCAGCAATTACACTACTGTGTCCCAGAAGGCATGTAATCCATCTTTTTAACCTCTCGGGGACATATTCTAGCATGACTGTGTGTGTGTGTGTGTGTGTGTATAAATTTTCAAACACATGCAAAAGTAGGTTGACTAGAACAATGAACTCCCATGTATCTATTGCTCAGTTTCAATAACCATTAATGTTTCACCTTTCCCGTTTCACCTGACCCACTTCCCCATACATACATTTCACCCTATGCCATTATCTGTGGGTCCATCCTGGGCTCCCTGATAAGGCAGCATCACCGTTTCTCACCATTTTCTTCCACAGTAGACACACTCATCTTCCATCCATTGTAGCAGTAGAGTCCTTGGGGGAGAAAAATACGCTGTAGTTACAGTAAAGCTTTTTGAATTACATATTGCCATCTGACTAGCTGGCCTTCTGGAATTTTCAGCATCTGAAAGGCTTTTGAGCAGAGCGCCAGATTTCAGCAATTTCTTTCTCACTATTTCTTTTTTACTTTGGTTTTATTGTCTATTTAACATGAGCAGGCGCTGTATAGACTCAAAAATAAGCTGTGGTTTGGAGGTTTGACAGTAAAATTCTTTGTAAGTACTTTGGAGGATTTGATAGTCGTGGTTGTAACAGCCATTATTCATAGCATTTTGGGAGGCCAACTGGGCTGGAAAGTGGTAACACAGGCTGTGGAGCCAGACCGAACCAGATTTTAAAAACTCAGCTCTAACAACTACCAGCTATGCGACCCTAGGACCCTAGTCAAATTTCTTAGCCTCTCTGAACCTATCCCCTCATTTGAAAAAACGGACAATCCTAATTCCCACCTCACAGAGAGTCCCTGTGAAGACAGAATGAGTTAGGGGCATAGTGAGGACTTAATGAGTACCTGGTACATAGTAGGTGGTCAGAACTCAGAAGCTACTATTGTTATCCATTCATTTCAGTGCAGTGATCTTCCAGCCATCCTCACCGCTTTCCTCAATATTACATGTTTTAAGAACAGTGCTGGAGGGTGAGATGCTACACGCCAAGTGAAGGGCACGTTGAGATCACCACAGGGCTCTTGCAAAGTAGCCTGTGATGCAGTTCCCCATTCTCAGAAAACTGGGGCCATTCTTAATAAATTAGGCAGCTAAATGTTTGTGTGTGTGTGTGTGTGTGTGTGTGTGTGTGTGTGTGTTAAAGTCAACAGAGATTTCCTTGGAAAGTTTTCATGCTTCTATACTGACGAAAGTCAGACAGGTTTAATCAGCTCCATGCGGTCTCTGAGCTTAGGCAGCACCCATGTGGCCGTTTTCCTGTGTGTGGTGGTCAGAGCCAGATTCTGCAGCCAGGCTCTTCCTCCCTGGGCCACTTTGGCCATTGTGCCTCCACTCCTCTCTTGTAAAGCAACACCCACATTAAAGGGTTTGTTGTGACGAGTGAAAGAAATAGTTTAAGCGTTCAGATTAGTGCCTGGCAGGTAGTCAGGCCTCATTGAATGTTAGCTGTGGTCATTGACATCACAGAAGTGGTGGCGTCTATCCTGTGCTACAGGATGTCTCCCAGGTTCAGTGTGCAGGGGCTGAGCAGTTCCAGTAAGAGTGTCTCATTCATTCTTTGCTGGGGCTGACCAGCAGACGCCGAGTGATGGGTGAATGATTACTCTGACACCGGATTGCTGTGAAAGAGAGGGCTAAGGGACTGCCTGGCTAAAGGAACCAGACAGCCTCGATTGCCTGCCTCTTCAGGCTTTTATTGTAACAGCAGTTTGAGATAAAGTTTATCTTTTAGATACAATCAGTAGGGTAAGTAATCTTGGGGGGGGGGGATGGAGGGGGACACATAAGTCTGCAGTATCCTTTAAGCAAGGACACCTAAAGATTAAGGATAAAGATTCCGGTAAACATCCAAGGGTCGGCACATGCACATACTTGTTTGGAAAGGTCAAGGAACAATTAGGGGTGCTGCCTTCAGCCAAACTCCCCTAAGTCAGAATTCCGATAAACAGGGGGGGCTTCCTTCAGCCCACTCCTTTTTTTGGAATTTTCCTCCTTACAAACTTTCCAACCAAATCCTGTGCTTCCCCACAATTCTTCATTTGTTCTGCAAGTATTTACTGATATCCTGCCATGCCAAGCACTGTTCTAAGTTCTGAGGGCACAGCAGTCAGCAACACAATTCAAAATCCAGCCTGAGGAATCCCCATCCCAACCTCCCCTCAGGAATGGCAACCAGTGTATCCAGGCCTTTGTTGTTCAGAACTATCGTATTGGGTGTTTACCCCGAGTTCTTTTAAATAGCCACTGCTTGATTTGTATGCCATGGCTCCTTTGTGTTTTGCACAACAATTATTTATATTTACTAGTAAGTACCTAATTTGTGCTTTGTACTGTTTTAAGTTGAATAAGAGCTGGTATGTGCCTGCCAGGATCTGTGGCATGGTGGGCAATAGAAAAGTGATCATAAAACAGTGAAGTGTGTGCTCAGATCAAGAAAGGCACAGAGGAGGGGCATCAGAATAAAATGGTGGTGTTAGAGAACATATCCTGGAGAAGATGAACTCTAAAGGGTATTTTAGATTTAGCTCCAGAGGAGTGTGGGTGCCGTGGATGGGGGCGGGGGGCAGAGCAGTTGGGGGCAGGGATGATGAGGGAAGGATGAGGCTTTCTAGGCAGAGGAGCATGGAGAGAAGGCATGGAGGTCTGGGCTGCCTGAATATTTGGGGAACTACAAATGGGCCATTAGTGGGGCAACAGGTGAGGGAAGTGGAGGATGAAGAGACACAGGTTTGAGTCTGATAATGAAAGGCTTTCTATGCATTGCTCAAGAATTTGAATTTTCTCTTGAAGTCCTCCATAGGGAGCAAGAAAGGACTTGAAGCTTGGGAGGGATGTAGACATGATAGAATTGGAATTGCTGTTTCGTCAGTAGTGTGGAACATGGTTTGAAGGAGAACAAAGAAGCCAGCTGTCCAGGCAGAAAGCATGGAGGCCTGAACAGACAGTGACAAAGAGTTGGTGGAGAAGGGCTGAGAATTCAAAAGTTATTAAGAAGGATGCGGGCCCTGTAGGGCTTGGTGAATGACTGGCTAGGTAGGGGGAAGGGGTTTTGAGATTGTTAAAACCATGAACCATTGTAAGTTAAGAGAGAGGCCAGTTGTCACCGCTGGGAGTCATCAAAACTCCTTGTGTTACTGTAAAAAGTTAAGGCAGGGAAAAAGGTATACTGGATGCTCACTGTGTCAGCAAGGAGACCTCTGGGAATGTGGCAGTCATCTGTGGTGACTCACCGGTCTATGTTGTTTCACACAAATCCAGCCAAGCAGATGACTGCATCATCTGGTGCATTGGCCCATTCATTAATTCATTGATTCATTCATGCATTATTGTGTTGATCAAATATTTATGGAGCTTACATATTGGTGGGAGTGAGTAAAGGAGGGAGAAATTGTACATTGAAGTAAACAGAGATACGTTCAGATGGAGGAATGTGTAGTTAGAAAATGACAACAAAGTGAGGGAGGGGGCCTGGGTGGGTGGGTTGCAGGGAGTGGCTTTAGAAATAGCAGCTAGAGAAAGGCCGGCCAGGAGGTAAATTGAGAGCTTAGACCGGAGTGACCCTGGGAGGAGATCCTGGGGATGGCCCTGAGGAAGGAGCTGGTTTGGCTGCCAGCCTTGTTGAAGCCACATCCTTTACCTAGATGACTACAGTAGCCTCTCGCTGGGCTCCCTGCTTTGAGACCCTCTCCTCGAAACTCCAGTGCTTCCATGTCACAATGAGTAAAAGCCAAAGTGCTAGTGGCAGCAAGGCCCTCCCCAATCCAGTCCCTCTCTTTCCTCACTATTGCACCTCCTACGCCTTTCCTGTTCACTCCGCTGTTCCAGCCACAGTGGCCTCCTCCTGCTACCGGAACACGTCACACATGCCCAGCCTCTAGGCCAAGTACTGCATGGCTTGTGTCTCACTTCAGGTCTTGGCTCCTGTGTCAAGGGTTCCCAGGACCACACCCAGATTTGAAGATTTGCTAGGAGGACTCAAGGCATTCAGCATACTCATGGTTGTAATTTATTACAGTGAAAGGATACCAAGCAAAATCAGCAAAGGAAAGGTGCAGGGGGTGAACTCTGGAGGCTATCCGGGGCAAGCTTCCAAGAGTCTTCTTCCTGTGGTGTCCCATGGGATGCACTTAACGCTCCCTGCGGTGCATTGGGATCACACTGTAAAGTGTTGTCAACCAGGGAAGCTCAGTGCTCAGTGCTCAGAGTTTTCATTGGTAGCTGGTCACGTAGGCAGCCTCTGCCTGGCATATACCAGAATCCAGACTCCCAGAAAGACAGCAGGGGTCCAGCATAAAGCATATTGTTTGTCCAGTTTAGGTAGGGTGAGCCATTCTCCATGGGGACGATAGGAACCCTCCTGATGTTCCTAGATGCCACCCAAGGCCCACCCAAGGCCAACCTTGCAAGCAGGCCTTTCCTCGGATAGTATTCTTTCCTAGAGAGCACCTGCTCAGTGGGCCCTTCGCCCACCATCCTACTCAAAAGAGCAACTGCTCCACCCGCACTCCTTGTCCTCCCCTCCCTGTTTGATTTTTCTTCATGGTGCTCATCACTATCTGAGATATTTGTTTATTGCTTGGGTCTCCTATTAGCATGTAAGCTTCATAAGGGCAGGGGTTTTTCCTGCTTTGTTTCCCACTGAACCCTCAGTGCCTGGATGATGGTTGGCACATGGTAAGCCTCAGTAACATTGAAAACAGGAAAATATGGCACATGTGGTTAGAACAAAGCAGGCCATCAGAGAGAGGGAGATGCGGTTGCTGAACAGACGAGGTCAGAGCAGACAGTGAGCTGTGGTTACAGGAAAGGGTTTGTTTATAGGAACGTATTTCTTAAGTCGCATGACTCCCCCATAGAGTTGTCCAAACCAGATCTTTACCTTTTCTTAACTTCAGCTCACTCCCAGCTCTCCTCAGGGCCACAGGTCTGTCCTTTTTCCTTTTCCATTTAGTGGGATTCAGAGTCGCCTATTCTGTGCCGTACAACACCTCTGCCCTAGAAGTTATCACATTGTAATAATTTAATTATTTGTATAATTTATGTAATATGTGAGTTCTCCATTAGGCTGAAAGTTTCTGGCTTGTTAACATTATGTCCTCAGTGCCCATCCCAGAACTCAACAAATACTTGAATGAATGACTTGTTTTTCTTCAGAACGACAATGGCCCTGGATTAGGCCAGACTTCTTGGGAAAGGAAGAGCCTGCCCGGATTCCCCAGCCCCAGACTTTCAGCCTAAACCCCGAGCCAGCATCTCCTTAGCCTCCCTCTAGGATTGGAGCACAGAGTGTCAGGCAAATATCAGCCTCGCCATGACTTGGCTGTGATGCTTTGCTGTGCATGTTCACTTCGCAGGCGTCCTTGGAAAAGGCCCAGCTGCTTGCAACAATCGGGGACCAGCTCATCCAAAGCCACCACTACGCAGCGGACTCCATCAGGCCCAAGTGTGTGGAGCTCAGGCACCTCTGCGATGACTTCTTCAATGAAAACAAGAAAAAACATGACATTTTAGAAAAGTCTTTGGAATTACATAGTCAGCTGGACAAGGTGAGCAAAACAAAGCTGTGACCATGATGTCTGCAAAATTTTCTGTACAGCAGTCTTAGTCAGACTTGACCTCCCTGCCCCACATGGTTGCTGAGAAGAAAAAGAACTTCATGGGGAACAGAGCTCAAGAGGCATTACATGCTGCAGGTTCTAGGTCACAGGGGTATTGAAAGTCAAAGGTGCCTCAGTCATCCCACCACATCCTATTAGAATGAATTGGGTCTGTTTCCCTGGGTGTGGACCCAGACTTAAAGAGTGCGCTCTGGCCCTAGCCGGTTTGGCTCAGTGGATAGAGTGTCGACCTATGGACCAAAGGGTCCCGGGTTCTATTCCAGTCAAGGGCATGTACCTCGGTCAAGGGCATGTACCTTGGTTATAGGCTCCTCCCCAGCCTGGGCCCTAGTTGGGGCACATGCAGAAGGCAACCAATTGATGTATTTCTCTCACACCTCATTTTTCCCTCTCTCTTCCACTCTCTCTAAAAATCAGTGGAAAAATATCCTCAGGTGAAGATTTAAAAAAAAGAGTGTGTTCTGGCTTGGCCTGGTGGGACATTTTTTTGATTCCCCCTCAAGCATACAGAGACCAAGTCCTACATTTGCAGAGTGCTTCTTCTCATCTGAAGACATCGGATTGTGGATCCTTTGGGAAAAGCTTAAGTTATAATGATCATTTATACACTCCTGCCATTTGTAGAGGACCTACTATGTTCCCAGTAGGAGCATAATTATGTCATCTATTTAATCCTCAAGACAAGTTATGAGGAAGATATTAATGACCTCATCTTACAGAGGCAGAAACTGATACTCAACGTGGTTAAGTCCAAGAGTTGCAACACTTAGTGCATGAGAATTGCCCGGTGAGTTTGCTGTATTGCACAGATTCCCTGGTTTGCCACTCTGGAGACTGAGATTCAGTAAGTCTGGGACGATGCCATAGAACCCGTGTTTTCAGCAAGGGTCCAGGTGATTGTGGTGCAGGTGGTACAGGGACACACTGAGAAACCCTGGGATAAGTGACGGCCTGAGACCGCACATGGAGGAGATAGGGGATTGCAGATTTGAAGTCAGGACTGCCAAATTCAAACCCCAGGCTCCAGAGACTAGACAGCAATGCTGTGTGAGCAGAGGGTTCACAGGGAGGGAGTGCAGCCTCTGGTGCCCTTTGGCAGTGATCTCCTGGACAAGTGCCCAGTCAGCAGGGGCAGTGACTTTTGGAGCCTTCCCAGGCAGCACGTGGCTCATGGCCATGAGTGGGGAGCTCCATTCCTGTAGCTCTTTCTCTGCAGTGGCTGGGGCACCCACCCAGGCTGTTTACATCATCCCATTGCTAAAGGGATTTTAATGTCAGTGAAGTCCAGCTGTTCCAGAAGCAAGCGGCTCAGAGGGACCTGGTGTGCAGCCTGCTCTGTGGGCTGAGCTCCCTGCAGGATCAACTACTGTTTCCCTCAGAACATATCTGCTCCAGAGATAATAGCCTAACACTGAGCTGAGTGTGAGTGTGTGTGTGTGTGTGTGTGTGTGTGTGTGTGTGTGTCTGGGAAAGCAAGTAGCTGCTGTGACTGCAGAAGACCCCAGCCTAATGTTTTCTGCAGATCTAGGCATGATGTTTCAAGACAAAGTTTTCACAGTATATATTAAAGCATGATTTCCTACTACTTTGAAAATCCAAAAATGTAGGAAAGAGGAGGGAAGAAGTTACTGGTGGATGCCTACACATCCTACTTCCCTTCTCATCTCCACAGTGATAATGATTAACCTTTAAGTACCTTTATTGGTGTGTGTGGTTTTTGTTTTGTTGTTGTTCTAAAAGTAGCACACATTCAATGTAGATAATTTAGGGGGGAAATAAAAGACAGATTTAAGTTGCCTATAATTTCCCACTTAGTGATAACTCCTTTGGAGTGCTTTTCCCTTGTATAGTTATTTGACGTAGCCCTTGAGGTCACCTGGAATGGAAATGCAGGTGTACTTGCTCTGGCAGCTCATGTAAATATTGAGGCATCACCAGGGCCCTTGTCTTTCTGTGTACGTCTTTAAAAAGTTGAACTGTTAGAATTCATCACCTACCTGATTTCATCCCAGCATTCTGGAAAGTGTGAGTACTGCTGTTCTGAGCTTGATGTAGCCCTTCACGTCACCTGGAATGGAAATGCAGGTGTACTTGAGGCATCACCAGGGCCCTTGTCTTTCTGTGTACGTCTTTAAAAAGTTGAACTGTTAGAATTCATCACCTACCTGATTTCATCCCAGCATTCTGGAAAGTGTGAGTACTGCTGTTCTGAGTTACAGAACTTTTCATTCTTGGATGCTTTTGTGGGAAAGACAAATGACAATAAGTGCAAATGCGGACAGAGGAAAGTGTTTTTGTTAAAAAGACAGTCCCTCCTGCAAGCAAAGCATGTAGGGGGCAGGTCTGGTGCCTCATTAGTTACCCTGTGCTCTTGTAACCAATTAGGAGGTAAGACAAGTGGCCTAGAAGGCCAACCCGAGAAGTCATTGGTTACATTTCTCTATAGCGAGACCAAACTTAGAAGTCCTTGCCTTTCTCCTCCGGGAGGGATAGTAATTGCTGTCAGTAGAAAAGGGCAGAATGTTTACACGATTCATTTTACTGGTTGGGTGACTTCCCTGAGAAGTGGACAGATGTAAAATTGGTTTGGGTTTGTCCACCTCATAGTTGTATTTACAGGGGTTAGACCTCTCGACTTCATGCTGTCCCATGACAAGTTCCCAGTATCTCGGAATCCTGGTAGAGCCAGAGGAGCGCAGACCTCCCAAGGGACTGTGGTGGCTGAGCTGTGGTCAGGCTAACTGCACAGGGCACTGTGTTTCTTTTCAAAAGGTCAGCCGGTGGTGTGAGGCGGGAATCTACCTCTTGGCTTCCCAAGCTGTAGACAAGTGCCAGTCTCGAGAGGGTGTTGACGTTGCCT